TGCTGATCAGCTTCCACCTCACAGGCCTTATGATTGCCCCCATAGAGCTGCTACCTGGAGCTGCTATCCCATTTGGCCGTATATACTCCCTTTCTGAGCCTGAATTGAAAGCACTTCGTGAATACATACAAGAAAATCTTGCCAAAGGCTTTATTCGACCATCCACTTCTCCAGCAGGAGCTCCTATATTATTTGTAGAAAAGAAAGATGACAGTCTACGACCATGTGTTGATTACAGGGACATTAATAAAATCACTGTTAAAAACCGTTATCCCTTGCCTCTCATTCCTGAACTTCTGGAGAGACTTCGTTCAGCTAAAATATTTACGAAGCTTGATCTATGGGGGGCATATAATCTGGTTCGCATAAGACCAAATGATGAATGGAAAACCGCTTTCAGAACCAGGTACGGACATTACGAATATCTAGTAATGCCATTTGGGCTTTGTAATGCCCCTGCAACTTTTCAGCATCTAATCAATGATGTACTACGGGATCTCCTGGACCAGTTTGTTGTGGCATATTTGGATGATATCCTGATATTTTCTGATAATCTTGAAAATCACAGAAAACAGGTCTGCATTGTTCTTGAGCGCCTTCGTACCCACCACCTATACATTAAACTGGAAAAATGTGAGTTTGAACAAACAGAAGTTCAGTTCCTGGGGTATGTAATAACTCCTAAAGGTTTAAGTATGGACGCAAGTAAAATTAAAGCTGTGCTGGACTGGCCCATCCCCAAGAATGAAAGAGATATACAGAGATTTGTGGGGTTTGCCAATTTTTACAGGCGTTTCATTAAGAATTTCTCTGCCGTTATTACACCGATCACTGAACTTACACGTAAAGGGACTCCTTTTCAGTGGTCCAATAAGGCTGACACTGCATTTTCCAGATTAAAGACTCTGTTTACATCTGCTCCTATCTTGGTACATCCTCAGCCAGAATCGCCATTTACTGTAGAGGTAGATGCTTCTGATTCAGCTGTTGGGGCTATACTATCTCAAAGGACTGGACCTAAGATGTTGTTACATCCATGTGCCTTCTATTCCCGCCAGATGTTACCAGCAGAAAGAAATTATGACATAGGGAATAAAGAACTTTTGGCTATAAAAGCTGCCTTCACCGAATGGAGACATCTCTTGGAGGGAGCCACCCATCCAACTACTGTCCTCACAGATCACAAAAATCTGGAATGTATCCAATCCGCTAAGAGACTGTCAGCCAGACAAGCACGCTGGTCCCTATTTTTCTCAAGGTTTAATTTTTTTATTTCATACCGCCCTGGTTCCAGAAATGGCAAGGCGGATGCCTTGTCTAGGATAGCTGCCCCCCTCCATACTACAGTAACCAAGGCCACCATCTTGCCGGAGAGCAGATTTTTAGGAGTTACCTTTCCTTCTGATCTAATGTCTCGCATTAAAAAGGGCTACTCTAAAGATCCAGTTTTTTCGTGATCCTCCTCGTAATCTTCATATGACCATGCTTAATGGGTTTTGGATTTTTCAACAACGTCTGTTTGTTCCAGAATCAGTGCGACTGGACGTTTTACGCCTCTACCATGACTCTAAACCAGCAGGTCATCCGGGAATCCAAAAGACACAAGAACTACTTACCCGATCCTTTTGGTGGCCTAAATATTATGAGGATGTTAAGAAGTATGTGTCCTCTTGTGATGTATGTGCCAGACATAAGACTCCTCGCTCATCCCCTGTTGGCTTGCTTCAGCCTCTTCCGATTCCTCATCGTTCCTGGGGATCTATATCCATGGACTTTATTGTGGAACTACCTCCCTCTAAGGAACACACTACTATTCTTGTTGTTGTGGACCGGTTAACCAAGATGAGTCATTTCATACCAGCTCGTGGTCTCCCTTCAGCTAAACAGACTGCTGACCTTGTTATTCGGGAAATATTTCGCTTGCATGGGGTGCCTGATGA